ATAACTATCATAAACCATGTCTATCACCATCATCAACATCATTATCATAAATAAGAGTCCATGACCATAATTGTTGTAACCATCATAAACCATGATCCGTCACCATAATTGGCATCACTAGCATAAACCATGGATCATCACCATCATTATCATCACTATCATAAACTATGGTCCATTACTGTCATGTCATAACCACCACAGTATGAAGTTAAACGAAATCTCAGTTCATATCAGCAGAGCCCACTGGTCACACAGTTATATCCTGATGGTCCCTTGCATGTGGAAACACTACCAACAATAGCACCAGAAGATATGCTCAGAAGGAAACAATTTAAATTAACTATGGAAGTTTTTGACTCATTTTCTAGAAGCCATGGCAAATGACAAAGAACTGACAGACAACCAACATGCCATGCATCCTAGTACTACTGCCCCTTGAGCCATTTTCATTCCCTTATTAGTCACTGTATTTGACTTATATTGGGTTGCACTTGCAGAGTAACATCTGTGTTTACATCAAGGAATGTATAACGCAGGCACAGAATAGAAATAACTAAGTAAAGATCCAGAATCACAATCTGATGTGGCGTGGAACAGCAAAGAGGGGGCTGAACTGTGTGATTGACAGTTGCAATCAGGATAAATATACTGAAATCAAAATGAAAGCCAGCTTTGACAAAAAGGAAACACTCTCTACTAGTAGAACTGCTAGCCATTTAAGTGTATGTACCTAGCACGAACTGAAGTCAGCAAAGAAGATTCTATACCTGTGTTAAAGGGTCTATAAGATCAACATTAGTAGCTGCAGTGTGGCAGAATAGAGAAGAAGCCAAATTACCTAGTGCTGTGTTTACTCTCTTAGTAACCATTCAGTGCCTACCTCTAGCTAGGTCTGACCTACCAAAACGGTGACTATCGGACAGAAATTCGGAGATGTACTAACTTACTACGGGACCAGCTTCCACCAACCTGCAGACTAAGATATCAGATAATCTGTGATAGAAAATTCCTTGAGTTGCTGGCAACCCATCTGTTTGCTGTTTCTACCAATGTATTTGAACAGTGCTTTGATAGATGCATTCTTGCTCTACAAACTTGGGACAATTTTTCCACATTGGAACATGGTATTTGGGACAACCTTATTTTTATTTCTGTTTTTAAGGCAGGCTCTCACTACACAGCCCTAGCGAGCCTAGAACTCGGGGATATGTCTGGCTGTGTCTCCCAAGTGTGTGTACCACCACCATGGCTCAGAACAAATTATCTCCTATTCCCTTTGAGGTGGGAGTTGTGCTCTGAGTTCACACCAGTGTGTTCATCTCCAAACGTCTGTACTTATTTAGGAAAACAAGGAGGGCAAATAACAAAGAAAGATGATGGTCCTGACACAGACTCACTCCCTCTCAACCCTGCCACTCCTGACATTCCTCCCTTTGGGGATGTGAAATGAGACTCCCACTGAGAACTGTCATTACATTATTATATCATAATATTAATATCCTATCATTTCCTAAACCTTTTTCAAACAATGGTGCAATTGCTTTGCCTCTTTATCAACACAAGATAACTTTAGATCTAAGTTTTATTTAGCAGTCACAGAGAGAAATATGCCCCCACACCTACCACAGAGCACTAAAGAGACCTTTAAACTATTTCATCTTTTTATACTATTAATCTATGTAACCCTTTCTCAACATGAAGTCAAAAAGAAAACTTTGGATTGAGTTGATCATCCTAAACTTTATTCTTTTATATTATACAAATGAGCAGCAAGTAAAAGTGCTTTAAAAGTAACAAATAGAGTAGGAAGTGACTCTAAATTCATAGTTTACAAATTTAATTGATTTTATAATTGTAAGTTTTAGCAAGATTTTTCATCACTTCCCTTGGGTGTTGTTATGCCCTGCTTCTACTTTTAATTTACTTTTATTTTATGTGTGTCAATGTTTTGTTTGTATGTATGTCTGTGCAACACATGAGTGCAGTGCCTGGGGAGGCCAGAAGAGGGTGCCAACTCCTCTGATACTAGAGACATAGATATTTGTAAGCCACCATATGGGTTTGGGTAGCTAAATTTAGGTCTCTAGAAGAGCAGCCAATGCTTTTAACTGCTGAGCCATACTCCAACCCTGTTACACCCCTGTTTTAAAAGCCTCAAAAAAAAAATCAATGACATCAAGAATAATTGTCCTAAGAACGTGTGGGAAGAATGGAGGCTCTTCACTATTTGAGTTTCATGGGCATGAGACCCTCACCATAGCAAAGGGCTTGCACCCATTAGGAACCCATTCATGATTTAATGTTGGGCTGTCATCAAGAAATTTTTGAAAGGTGGGAGCCTGTATTAACATTTGCACTGAACCTTGGAAAGCATGTATTAACATGTCAACTATCAGCAAAGCAATGTATCTTGCACCAAAGAAAAACAATAAAATGCTTGAGAAATATCCCTTCTCCTAAAAAGTGCATAGGAATAAGAATAGGAACAGAATTCTAATCAAAGAAAGTGGGCCGGAAAATGTGCAATAGAGGTGAAACTACAGAGCAAAAGGGTCTCCGCGATTGAGATCAGCATCAGCGGGAAAGAAAGCTTTTAATTGGATTCAAACAAAGAAAAAGACAGACGTAAACAATGGCAACTGGGAGGAAAGACAGAGATGAGTGTGTTGTAGGAAAGGCCGGAAACAGGCTCATGGTCACGTGGAATCACTTGGTTTATGTATCTCAAAAACCCAGGCTGAGAAAACTCGTCAGCTGTTGATGGAGAAGGGCCTAGAGCATCCAGCCAATGAGACTATCAATCATCTAAGACTAGCTGTGAGCTACTAAAGGGTTGGAGAGGTGGAGTCGGTAAATGATAGTCACAGTTTCAGAAGATTAAAGCACACATGGTGGCCGCCTTGATAACTCTAAGCTCTCGGCAGCACTGTGCTAGTTAACACACAGCATAGGGACCAGCTGCAAGGTGACGTCAAAGTTAGTAGTGCCCACTTCTCTTTTATTCTATCTGTCAGTTCTGCTTGACTTAAAAGCTAATGAACAACAATTAAAAAAAAATCACTAACTCTAGAGAACCATTAATATTCAAAGTGTCAAAAACAGACGGTAAAACTAAGGCAGCTCTGAACACCACACAAACACACACACACACACACACACACACACACACAGTGCCAGTAGAAAAGAAGGTCTTCCTAGAATCATCCAAAGGAGCATTTGCCGCTTGGCCCATTCCTTGAGATTACAAATCATGGAAACTAGAATCAGCATCTTAAGAACTCAAGCTGAGATATTCCACACAAATGACAAGCCCCGGCCCCCACAAAGGCATGTTATTGATCACCCACTGAAGTTTTCATCGGGGTGTCGTCAGATCAATAGCTTTGCACTTTAAGGCTTAAAATGAATATGCATTATTTATCATTCTCTCAGTCTCTCAACACACACACATACAGCAGTGAACAAACGTATATCCTCCCACACAAATATGGCAGTTTAATAATTTAATTTCCTTTCAAACTATCCCAAACTTCAAAAGAAATTTATATTTCCACCTCTCCGCATCTAATCACACCAAGGGGAAACGAAAACACCCCGCTGACATTGAACTATTTTAATATATTATTACTTGATATCAAATTAGAATTTTATTGTCCCCTTCAGCAGGAATATAACAAAAAGATTTCATGTGGAAATGAAAAATGTATAAAAGATGAAGCAGAAACAAAATTAATTAACAGAAATACCCAAGTAAAGGACATTAAAATTGCATTCTAAGAAACCTCAATAGGTATCTGTTAAGATATATTACTGAAATAAAATGTGAATTTGGCTTGTTAGCTCCATTTTAACCACTTATTCACACAAAAATTAAACTGTAGAAATAAAAAGTTTAATATTCTAGTCCTCAAAAAGGAAACCATGGTGTGCACTGTCCTTTTTTTCACATAACCTATACATTGCTATTTAATAATGTTTCAGTTTTAAAAAGTAAACAATGCAAATTTTGAATGTGTTGATGTGTATGCACAGGGTGTGTGTGTGTGTGCGCACATGCACACCAGCAAAAGGTCATGCGGTATCCTGCTCTACCACTCTCTCCTCCTTAGTCTCTTAAAACAGGGTCTCTTGATGAGCCTGTAACTCACCGTTTTAGCCAGCCTGGCTGGAAGGCAAACCCCAGCAGATGTCCACCTCAGGCCCGCACCCACCACGTTGGGGCTACAAACATGTATGCAGCCATATTTAACATTTTTCTATGTCCCCAAACCTGTGTATCAAGCATTCGGAACCACTCAGTAATCTCCTAGCCCCCAATATAAAATATACTTAGTCACTAGAATTGTCAATGGTCCTTTAAAAAATTATACATATATGTATATATATGCTAAAAGTAACATATATGTTAAAGTTTAATGACAGTGAATATCAGTGTTTTTCTAAGAAATGAGAAGTAGGTTTTCTATTAAGATCCTCGTTGTACATTGAGGTATCATAATAATCTATAAATTAAAAAGGAACTGGAAATAAATGAATTTGGGAAATCAATCTCAGGATTACAGGCTAATGAGCTAGCTGCCTTGTGAAATGTCTCTTCTTTAGCCGTATTACTTTTCCTACGGAAACTCATGGGAGACAGCTAGGAGAGGCACTGCGGTCTGTGCAGAGGAAGTAGTGTAAACTCATTAGCCACTAGATTGTGAGAATGAGCATCCTTTCCTGCTCAAGTAAATTCTCATTTGTGTCTCTGAGAAAACTCTGCTTGTCTGATATGCTGGGTAAAATTTGGATGTCCTGACTTAACCACACATCCTGAGAACCAGCAGCAGAAATAAAACCAGGCTCATCCAAAGTCTGGCCCTTCCACAGATTGGCAGGCAATTTACACTGAGTTAAAGCACACACACATAGTGCATGCACACACACACACACACACACACACACACACATTTCAAAGAGGCACCAGCGTCTTCCAAATGGAGAGAAAACAATTGTCCTACCTTTTTAAAAATTCCATGTACTCGGTGTGCTTGATGAGTCCTGTCCTCATCATTATTGTTTGAAAACATTGTCGATCGATGGCCCAGAGTTTCACGTTTACAAGAGCTAGAGGAAGAAAAAACAAAGCAATCAGGGGAAAAATAATTAGAGAATTTCACTTGTGAGCAGCACCCTGTAAAAGAGATCAGTCTTTTGTGAGAGATATAGAAAGCATTAACCGTTTGCACACATTTAAAATCAGAGGACTAAGCTGTCCTGTTTCATTAAAGTCAGTTAAACTGCAGCAACATGTGGTTCCTGGTTTTCTATCTAATATTATTAACTACCAAGAAGCTTCCTATTGCCGTTATGCCCCCGTCCATCCATCCAAAAGCACACAGTAAAGACTGTTCACGGAGGAAATAGCATAAGGTAAAAAAGAGGCTCCCAGGAAATTCTCCCTGGTAATACCCACAAGATTATTAATGATCCACATAACCCTATTTTAATTATTAAAAAGTACAAACAAAATAATTAACTTCCACTTTGACGAATTCTACATAATTGAAATAATAATTATCCAGCAATTTCTACACAATGCTTGTTTAACAAATTGTAACTTGTGCAATAACCATGCAGAAGTTTTATTAGGTTTTTTTGAATTTTAATTTCTCTCTTACATCTTCTATCTTTGACAATGTACAATTAAACGTTGAGGCTGAATACCACAGAAACATTAACGTCCATGATTGATAGACAAGATTCAGAACAAAATGATGGCAATGCAACAATTTATCAAGGTAAACTTATGAAGAAAAAGATGAGCATATTGGGGGCTGGAGAGACCAGCAGTTAGAATCTCTAGTATCATCTAGGGGACCCAGGTTTGAGTCTCAGCACCCACGTGGCAGCTCACAACCATCTGTAATTGCATTTCAGGACATCAAATGTCCTCCACTGGCCTCACAGGTACTAGATAAGCATGTTGTGCACAGATATCCATGTATACCATATATCCATACACATGAAATTTTAAAAAGTTAAAAGATAAGCTTTATCAAAATCTTGGTAGATGAACCTGTGTAGTATGTGATATGTTTATTATGGTCTCTACCTTTATGCATATCTTAATATTTTCGTAATGGAAAAAGGATGTTAGCATGTGTGTTGATGCAATGTGATAAAAAATATCTTCTACAGTCTGAGAGATTGGAACTTTTTCTGGACCTCATAGCTAGAGTTCAGAAGATACCTTGAGGTCACCTAAGACTGCTGTCCTCCTGTGTTCTCAGTCTGTTTGTCCAATCCATTTTTAAGAGAACAATGTAACAATCAACCTTACTTGCCTTGGAATTTTCATATACTCAACTTCTACAATTTAAGCCAATGCATAGCTGTAATCTTAAATTATGTGCTTGTGTATGCCCTCGACCCAGAATAAGGCATGTGTATCATTTGCTGAAAGCAGCAAATACAGAGATAGAACACAATCTTCTAAAATGAATATCCACCATGAATGTTGAATGCAACTAGATTCAGATATTGCTTGACAAGCGGTGCTGTTTTTAGTACTGATTGTTATGTGGTCAGTTGAGATCAGTTGGAACCAGAGACTTAATCACTGTAAAAACTCTGCTAGAGAGAATGCAGGGTATGCTATTCCTTCCACAGGTGATGGTTTCTGTGCTAGTCAATAAACACAGAGTGAAGCCCTTTGTTAGGGACAGAGACACAAAGACAGAAGACACAGACATACACAGACAGAACACAGACACGCAGACAAAACAGACAAACACAGACAGACAGCCTTCAGACCGGTACTGACTCAGATTCATACGACAGACAGGTGGAGGATAAAATACGGGCGAACATGAAGTAAATAATTCAAATCTGAACTTGATATTGGATAAATAATTTCAAGAGGAAGAGTGTTTTATTTCTTTCTTTAGTGTCACACTGGAGTGCATTTTTTGAGTTAATCACTAATGTGCTTAATCCACTCAAGCCTGAGAACTTTAAAAGGAAGGAAGGACCATATACTATACTTGAAAATATAGGAGGTGCCCTAAAACCAGGTGATGGTGGCACGCACTTTTAATCCCAGAGTTCAGGAGGCAGAGGCAGGTGGATCTCTGTGAGTTCGAGCCCAGTCTTTTCTATAGAATGAGTTCCAGGAGAAGTAAAAAACTACACAGTAAAACCCTGTCTCAAAATAATCAAAGCATAAATAACAATGATAATAATAATAAAATATAGGCGATATAACAGCAGACGGTACTTAGTGAAACTACTGGGTGGAGCCACGAGACAATTAGCTCAAGTGAACATAGTTAAAGTAAGAGTTGGGTTAGGAGGGCAGAAATGTCGTCATCATAGTTAGCATACACATGGGCCTTGAGAGGATGGGACAGGGGCAACACGAAAGGAACAGGAGAGAACGAAGATAAATGGGATGGTAGACTAAAGCAAACTCAACTCTAGAATTTTACCTTTCTTTGCAAATCTCTTTGAGGCTAAGAACTGGAATGTGGTTTCTTTCTTGAGTAGTTTGTCAGTGGTGAAAAACATTCAGTAAAGCAGTTTTCAGACACACATTAGTTGATGGCTAGAAACAGGATGACTGAGTGAAGATCAGGGTGGATGCATCCTAAAGCCATAGCTCTGGAGGAAGAAAAGGGTTAATATCTCCACCCTCTGAGCATATATATTAGTTTAGGAGAGCCCCAAGTCAAATGGTCTACAGACCAGCAAGGGTACCAATAAATGAGAGCTCATATAGAATCTGTAGGACATTGTAGTAAGATGACGAAAGCTCTGGTAAGGAAAACCTTTCTAGTAATTCACAGTGTTCAGAGTTTCAGACAAGAAGTGGCGCATTTAGTGAGGCCACAAGCAGCTCAGGAATCAAGAAAGAATATTGCTGACTACGGCAGCAATAAGACTAAGAGCAAAGGCCTGGAGATTTGGGCATGTGTGGAGCGTATGTGTATATCCTGGTGTGTATCTCTGTATGGAAGGGTGTCTGTGTGTATCTGTGTGGCCATGTGTCTACCTGTATCATTGTATTTGTTCCTATGTGACTATATGACTGAGGGACATATGTGATCACATGTGACTAACATTGCATTTATCTCATATATATATATGTTTCATGCTTCCTTCAACAAATGTATATGTTCTTCTAGAGACAACATGTCCTTGTTTCTTTCTATTTCTCAGTAGAAAGAGGCTTTCATTGATAAGCATTAGACATATAATCTTCCAAGGGAGAAAAACAAGAACTTGTCCTACCCAGCTGTAATGCTCACAGATATCAACAACTGAATGGCAAGATAGCCCATACTTCTTGATAAATAAAATTTACATACATGAAGTTCACCTCAAAAATCCTCACTTTAGAGTATAAGCCTCTATTATTTCACATGTTATAATCAAGTCTCCAAACTGAAATGATTCAGATTTCACTATCTATCTATCTATCTATATATATATATCTATATATCTATATCTATATATATCTATCTATCTATATATATATATATTTAATGACTTCTAAAAATGAGCTTACATAATTCAACGATTTGCTTACTTGGGCTACTAAAATGTCCCTAAGTGAAATTTCATTTCAGACAATATTGCTTCATGATAATGAACATGGGTTGATGAAACAGAAAATTTATCCATGACCTTGAGCAACATGCCAAAGCCTTTCTGCACTTTAAGCCACAGCATGTTAGTGATATTGGCATTTTACAGGTAGGTAAGCATGACCTGTGTTAACATTAAAAATGCCATTTCAGAGCTGTGATTAACATCTTGCTTAAGTTGCCTGCAGGGATGGAAGTCTGTTGCTCCCTTAAAGAGACCGTTAAAAGAAATCTTTCATTTATCTTTGATTTTTAAGTGTCTTCTTTATCTCTACAGGGAATCATCTCTGCATGAGTAGAATACCTGAGACTATCATGATGACGGCTGGAGCTAAACTGTGACAACACAAGCTATTGTCACTGCCACAAACTAAGGACAAGACTCTATAAAGTCTAAAGGACAACAGGCAGAGATCAAGAAACCATCTTTCTTTGCACTGGAGCATACTTCTAAAAGTCTCGCCTGAAGCACACTGTGTTCTCACACTAAAGCCACATTTGTTGAAGGGGAAACACACTCTGAGATTTCTAAGCATACAAGTGGAATGGATGTCTTCAAGACAGGGAGCAACTAACTGGCTGTCCCTTACAGAAAACCACAATTCCAGAGGACATAGGCATAAGATTGTGCTAGTCTAAAATCACAAATCGGGATTTAGCTTAACTTCTAGTGAGGAATTCACCTGCTGCCCAACTGGAAGAATACAGAGAAAGCATCTATGATGCATACAAGGCCCTACCATACTCAAATATTTATTCAGCCTATTTTTATATCATACCAATATGGCAGATGCTGATGCTAGATATGGAAGAAAAAAAAATTCACAGCCCTGTCTTCAATTTAGGATCTACAACACAGGCTAACAAACTGCCATCTGCGGCAAGGCTAGCCAGTGGTTTATTTATCATAGTCTGCTAGAAAAGAATGGATTTTACATTTTTACACAGTAGAAAATTTTTAAATAGAAGCATATTTTACAACACATGAAAATTATCTGAAATAAATTTCAATATCCGTAAAATTCTTCTTGGTACCCAGACATGCCTGTTCATTTACACATTGTTTCTGGATGAATTGAGTAACTGTGACAGAGACCATATGGAACCCAAAGCCTAAAATATTTCCCATCAGAGGCCCTTTTCAGAAAACACCTCCTGAATCCTAGTCTAGTAGACATGAAAAATTAAGAGCTAAGGTAAGTTTCCAGGATTGTAAATACTCAGGAAAGCAACACATTCTTCCTAAGGGTGGGGATGGGGCAGTAAGAAGACCTGACTGAAGGGAGGTTTAATGAAGTGATCCTCAAAGTCATGGTTCTTTGCTGCGTGTTATAGACAGAATGTGTTTTTGCCCCAACTTCATTACTTGAAGACAAAGTGGTATTAGGAGATTGGGCCTGTAGAAGTTGATTATGTTTAGATGAGGTCAGAGAGAGGGTGCTTAAGCAAGAACATCAGTGGCCTAATAGGAGGAAATGC